TGAAATTAGACTAGAAAGTAAGAAAGGAGTTGACAAGAGTGAAGAAGGCTTTACTCTTGTCTCTATATATACTATCTAACTAGAGGCTACGTGGCGACGTTCTATAGGACCTCCAATATGTGTTGACTTTGTAGGACACATGCCTTGACTTACAAGGCAAGTTTTTCTACGTGTGGGCCATATAGTTAGCTTGGTCTTCAAGCTAACAATATGTGTGGCACATGGCAAACTTGTTGACCACGTTTCAAATCCAGAAAGTCAATTAAAGACACCTATAAAGTGAAAGCAGTATCTATGAAGCTTTTAAGAAGCTATTATAGCAAATATTATAGAATTAACTTAATTTTACCTATTTATACCTGTAATTACTAGCTTACATGCATACGTCCATGATTAAATCTCTTGGTTATATTCAAATTTTTATTTTGTTTTCAAAATTTTTATAAATATTAGAAAAAATGTACAATTCAAAAAGAAATTATTGATGTTTTAAGATTGACATCAAGATTGCAAATTGAAGACAACTAATACTTAATGGATTAGGAGTTTTTTTCCTTAATTTTTAAGTTTGATGTTTTTTTAAATTATGCTTATTTTCAACTAATAGATTTTAAATTATAAATTTTTAAAATAAATATTAAAAATTATAATAATAATAATAATAATAATTAAGTTTTTTAATTTGTTATAGAATTTATTTAAGATTTAAATCGAGTTTATTAGATGTACTTAAGATTTGATTACAATTCAAATATGATTTTAAAATAATTTTAGAATTTATTCATAATATTTGTATGATTCTATTAAGATTTTAAAGGATAGGTTAAGATTTCTTTGAAGTTTCTATTGATTGGTTGAGATTTCTTTAAAATTTTATTTGGATTTTTGGAGATTGTTGAAGGTTTATTAGAAGTAAATTGAAGTATTCAAATATATTTTTATGGTTTTTTCTAAGGTTAATAGATATATTTAGTTTAATTAAAGTCTTACTTATATTATTTAAAATTATCATATAGATATTTTTAAATATATAATATAATATTTTATTCTAAATATAAATTCAAAGTAAAATAAAATCTTTCTACAACTAGATGCAAAGTGCATTTTTAGGCCGATTTTTGAATAATTAAATCATGATTTTTATACATTACAAACATTTTTATTAATTTATTCCAAAGCTTTAATATTGTATATGGATTCTTGTTAATTTGTCAAAGATAAAAACTCAAAGAATGTAATTAAATATTAAAATGTATATTAAATAGAAATAAATATATGGAAATAAGGAAGTTTGTATATTTAAGAAAAAATTGGAATGGCTGTTGCCAAAGACTTTAAAATTAAAGACTTTTGAAACCAAATTAAAAGCAAGAATGGAATTTACAAGAATAACAAAGGTCTCACTCTTGCTTCTATATATACAATTTAACTAGGAGCTATGTGGTAACATTCTATATGACCTTTAATACATGTCAAACTAACAAGATACATGTTTAAATTGAAAAGAAAAATTTCTATATATATGCTATATGGCCAATTTATTAGCCAAGTTTTCAACTTATCAATCACCATAAGTACATATAAAATTCAATATTTTTCTACCCAATTTCTTTTATATATATATATATATATATATATATATATATATCAATGATATAAAGATCTTATTAGCTAATACAATATAAAATTTTAAATAAAATATTTTGATAGAACTGTTAAATATAAAATTCTACTCAACATTTTGATATTTGGTATATTAAAGCCGAGTTCTTTAGAAAAATAGAAAGTAGTGAAAGAATTCAAAGAAATACTTAAAAAACTCAAAGATCCAATTTTCATATTACAAGTTATCTTGCTTTTGCTAGAAGAGAAATAAATATTAGAGATTAAGATTTTAGAAGGATTAAGAATAATAATTCTATTAGAATAAGACCTAAAAGTTACAATTACCTCAATAATCCAAATTTTTCTTAAAGTTGATGGATTGGTTAAATATTTGAGCATGAAGTTTGAATACCTTCCAATAATATCCTTTAAAATAATTAAATTATAAAAGATGAAAGACTAGAATATCACTTAAAGATGATATAATATTAAATTGCAATGACTATAATTAAAGGCAAGAAGACTAGAAAGTCTTGAAACAAGACAAGGACTAAAAAGGCATTGATAAGAATGAAGAAGGCTTCACTCTTATTTCCATATATACTATCTAACTAGAAGCTACATTGTTATAGTATGTATCTTCTTGTTTGAAAATGCACTAAGTATCTAGCTATGGAAGATAAGTAAAAATACAACAACAAATCCTACTAATCTAGAAGAGTCTTAAATAAAATTTAATAATCTTCAAAAACCTTCATCAAACTTTAACCAATGTATATTTTTTTTAAAGAATTAAAAAAAAAAAAAAAAAAAAAAAAAAAAAAAACACAAAGAAACTATAAATGAATCTAAAAAAAATAAAAAAATAAAAAAATCATACAAAACTAATAATAATCTTAAAGAAATATTTTAAAAATTAAAATTAATATTAAAATTAAAAAGAATCCTAAAAAATATAAAAATAAAAATCTTAAATTAATCCAAAATAAATTAAAATCAAATTTTAAATAAAATTTTAATAAATCTTAACAAAATCTTAGATCAAATCATAATTAAATCCTAATTAAAATCCTAATAAATTTTCATCAAAATCTAGATCAAATCCTAATAAAATCTTAATAAAATCCTAGGTCAAATCTTAATGAAATCCTAAATTTTAACCAAATCTTAAACCAAAATCTAATAAAATCCTGAATTCTTATTCTAGATCAAATCCTAATAAAATCCTATAAAAATCCAATCTAAATCTTAATTAATTATTATAGTTTTTTGAAACCTTAATAAATACTTAATTAAATTTTTGATCTTCACTAAAATTTTATTGACTTCAATCAACAAGCAATTGCTAAGCATATAAAATTTGAGAAGAATTGGTCATATCAATTACAAGAAAAGCTTCCAAAACCTCTTGGTTATTGGCCGCCTACCTTCTTCGACTTGAATATTGATCTTTTAACAAAGATTTATCCTTGTTAAACTAATCAATTGCTTCAAAAATTGAATTGTATGAAGGTATTTAAGTCTTAATTTCTTTCACAAATTTTTGCTTCAATCAAACTAGAAAATATTGTTAGATTGCAAAACCCCTTCCTAATCCTAAATATCAATTATCTAAGACCATAATTCAAAAAAACTAAAAATATTTTAATTTATCAAAATCTAAATCTATTGAGTAAATTACTAACTTTACAAATCCGTCAAAATCTCAATAATAATCCAAATGACATGAAATCAACTCTCAAAAATTTCTTGTTTTCTAGTCTTCCTCTCTAATTGACAAAAAAAACCTTCGAATTTTTGTAGGTATGTGATTTTGTGCTTTGGAGTTTGATTTCAATATAGGTTTATAATTAGTCTTCTCCAAATATCAATTTTTGATAATTTGAAGTAATATTTTTTTAAACCTATTATTGATTATTTTTTAAAAGATACCTATATTATTTATTTATCTCATTTACTTTGATATGAGATATTTGTAACCTTACAAAGTAAATAGAAGCTCCTTCTATAAAAAACAACATTAAGACTAAATTTTTTATTACCTTCTTATCATTTATCCTTATTTTTCTACTACATCTTTCTATTGGGCTATTCTATAATAACATCTATATTTTTATTTTTCACCATATAGTCGGGTTACTACACAATAACGTCACAACATCTTGTAGAATCTCCAATATATATCTGATTTCAAAGACAAGTGTCTTAACTTGCAAAACAAGTTTTATATATGTGCGCTATATAGTAAGCTTGTAATATAAGCTTCTAATACATGCAACACATAGCTAATTTGTTGGCCAAGTTTCTAACCTACCAACCAATTATAAACACGTGTAAAGTCAAAGTTACATCTATGAAGCTTCTAAGAAGATTTTCTATAAGTAAATACTATGATATATATATACATATATATATATATATATACATATATATATATATATATATATATATATATTTTTGACATTTATACATCTATAATAAGTACAAGTCTATTTAGAAGCTATAAAAGAAACAATATATTTTTTTAAAAAAAGATGATAAGATTAAAGATGACTTTATTCTTGTTTTTATTTACATTAGCTATAAAATCATAATCTATCATTTTAATTTATATTTAACAAAGTATTTTTTATAAAAATTTATATAAAAATTTAAATTTAAATTATTTGGTCATTTAAAAAAATTCTTAAAAGAACCTATATTTAAATCATTTTAACCAAATAAATGAAGAATTTTCAAAGAAGGTTTCTAATAAGAATTATATACCAAATTATTGAAAATATTTTATAAGATATTTCTTTAACATAATTGATTGTTAAACTATTTATTTGAAATTTCAAGAATATTATTGAAACTTTCTAAAATTTTATATAAGGCTTAAAAAAGATCTAAAGGATTTTGCATGTAGGAATAGTTATATATTGCATATGAAATGATTCCAATAATTACTTTATCAACTTCCATAATCTTAACAATTGCTTTAGTTGACATTTGAGCCACTTCTATTTATGACCACCTTTTGCTTGTAAACAATCAAAAATAAAAAATGAAGTTGAATATTCAATTAACTAAAAAGAAAATCAATTATTATAATCATGTAATGCACATAGTATTTGCAAGATTAAGAGTTCAAACAACTTATACTTGATTTTAAAACTAAACCATACTTCATTTGGAAAAGCAATACAAAAACTACAAAAAATATGGCTGCATGAAACTCATTTTATTGACTTAGCACACACAACCAACGAAATTAAAACTTGTTCACCCAATGGAATGAAAGTGTGTCTACATAACCCTACCAAAACTATATTCTCCTCCCCACATCAATAATAGCGGCTGGCTTTAATAACAAGCAATTGGGCCTTTCACCTTCTCTTACACACTCACTCACACATGGCATGAGGCCCAAGCCCGTTGCCCTAGTCGGCAGAGCTCCACGCCCACTGTTCGCAATACTATATGGGCAGGGATCGTGCATCGCATTGCATAGCATAGCATCGTGACTGATACTTTCGACGAACAAGTGAACAAAGACTCCCTCACTCACTCACTCGCTTGAGACTCGGTGCCCCTGCATCCCTAGACTCGCCATCGCAGATTTGCACCTAGCTTGACCGCGCTTGATGCGGGACTTGAACTGCTGCTTCCAAATTTCCTTAGGGTATAGCTCCATTTGCCAGGTGCCCCGGACTCGTCGTAGACATTGTGGAGTTTGGTAGGGAATCAATTCGCTTGCGTGCGGATGCATAAGCGGCGTTTAGTTGTTGTGGTGTTTCCCCATTCATCCGCTTAGTTGGTGTTATTTCAGGCGGCGAACCATTTCATCGGTTGGGCTTTGTTTTGTAGCGCGCGCTGTGACGGTCGTAAAATTTTGTTACATGTTAGGACGTTGATTGTCTCTCTTGTGGCGCCTTTTGGGAGCAACTTTGAAGGAGGCCCGAGCGGTTGTGAATGCGGTGATGGTGTTCCAGGTACTCGCGCTGCGATTATGTAGATTTTGGGGTGCTTTGGGATGGGGTGGTGGAGGAATGCGGGTAGTTGGTGCGTTGAAATTGTGGCAAATTTGGTTTTAGGGTTATAAAGTATAGGTGAGGAAAGAGAAGGTTTCTTTTGAGGGATGTGCGGACAAGCGAGAATGACGTTGTTTTTTCTTGAGAGAAGGTTTTCTGGGTTAGGGCACTGAACCGGGCTTTTCAGGTTGCTTCTTTATCAAGTGTTAGGACTGTCTATTGTTTCCTTTTAGCATCTTGAATTTTTCCTTGTGAAGTTTTCGTCCAGTGGTTTGATCCCTACTGTGAGAGCCTTTTCTGTGTGAAAATTGCATCCTTTGGGTTGGGTAATCCTCATCATGGCAGTCCTGGTAGATTCTGGAGGGGCAAGTCTTTGTAGGGGACCGACGTGGCTGTTTTTTTGTTATCTCTCAAGTTCCTCATGTGTGGACCTTCTCACTAAGCATACGCCTGTGCGCATCATGAAGACGCACATCGAAATTCTCTTGTCGGTTTGTTCCGTGTTATTTAAATTTCCAATATTGAACTGGGCGTCGATCCTAATATTAGACCTATCCTTTTAGGAAGAAACGCTACCATCTGGTGGCGATATTAATCCATTTTGTTGCAATTGTACTAATTAGTTGCGCATACCCTTGACTTTCTTGCTCCGGGATTGCATGAGAGTCTGAAGTTTGAAGAGTGTCTTTTCATATTGCATAATTAGAGCAGCCTATTTATGTCCTTATTCTCTTCTCCTCTATCCATGGAGTGCAATTCGAAGTCATTTGTTGCTCAATTCGGCAGCGTTATTCTTTGACATTGTCCGAGATTGTCAAAGAGCAACGTTGTCGAATTGAGGAGCCGAACGATACAGTGTACATATTTGATAAAATATTTTATAGTTAGAACGCGTTGTTGTGTTTGCTTCGACTGAGTGAAATGCATTTATCAAAGTGGCTGATGGCAGGTGGACATACAGCCTTTCATTTCTTTGGAGTGATGTCTGCCAGCTTCTTCTGGACTTCCGAACACGTGGAGACCAATTAACCCTATCATCTTCTGCAGAATATGCAATGTCCGATAATGTATGGTTAGAGCCTTTGTATTCCCCGGCGTCTGCTATTTTCTGCCTGGTGCTGCTTGCCAATCTTGTCGATATTTTCTGCATGTTTTCATACGGTAGGCTAGTATCCGTGTTGAGAGTTTGAAAGTTCAGATTTTCTTGATCATTTGTTGTTCTACAGGTGTCACGTAATGCGTGATTAGATGGATCTCGTAAATCCGTCGAAGTCCCGCGGCGGTCTAAATATCTTTCAGTATGGGGTGGGGGAGCTGCGGATTGGAGAGTTAGGGGACCAAGATGAAGAGGTGGACATTGATGACGACGATACTGATACCGGTTCTCATGCCGAGTTGAGCCACAAAAATGACACATCTTTGGCAGGTAGTTATCTGATGGTTCAGTTCTCGTAGTCACAAAGGTAAAGGCGTGCCTGTATGTTGCATATGATTTCAGCTCTTAATTGGTGGTTTCTCATGCATATGTAATCCGATTTCAGGTGTCAGTGTGGGGGAGAGTGAAGCTAAGTCGATGGCTGTGGGTATACCTACCGTTCGGGATGGTCTTGATGTGGTATCGAGTTCTTCGTCACGTGAACGGAGAGAGCTTGAAACTGCCAGATCATCAGCGGTTCGCCGATCCATCGCTATCGGTGCTTCTTTGCCTCAGCCGATTGTAGGAGTAGATAGCTCACCTAAATCCCCAAATGAGCTCAGTCCTAAGGCGTCTGAGAAGAGGACATCTAAGCGGCCAAATGCAAGAGAATTTCGGAGGCAGTTGTCAGCTAAAATTAGTACTGTTCGAATACAGTCAAGCGTTGCCCCGTTAGACAGTGTTGGCAAGTCCGTGGATAAGACAGATGAACGGGGAAAATTGAGTCGCGACAAAGATGAGCAGGTTTGTGTTTATTTTGAGGTTGACTAAGTCTACTTAAATTGCTGTATGAGCTACTATTTTTGTTTATTTTAGATTTGAGACTCATGGGCACACTATCTTTCTAAATTCGTTGCAGACCAACTTGAAAAGAAAGGAGTTGGAATCTAAGTCATCAACTTTACCACATGCTAAGCGTGTCAAGTTGCATGACGATCCTAGTGACTTAAGTGCAATGCCTTCAAAGAAAAATGAGGCTGAAGAGGCTCACTCTAGTTATGTCTCTTCGACCTTGAGTAAAGAAGTTTCGCAATCAAAGAGGAAAGCAAGGCTGACGAATGAAAGAGAGGATAAGGAGAAGGCCATGAAGAGCAATAGTAAGGGTACAGAGAAACGTTATCGGAAGGTTATTTCTGAGATTGAAGCAGAAAAGGAAATATCTGAGCAAAATGATCCTCAAGGAATAGAAAGCTTCAAACGTGATGGGAAGGGAGAGGAATCTCCAGGCGTAAAGCTTACTGAAGATTCTTCCTCGAATAAAGGTACTCGCGCTAATAATCTAGTGGAGGTGAGGCCCGCACCTAGTGAGGAAAATACCTTGGAGAATCAACTTCCGCCACCTGCAGGTAATGTTCTAATTGTTTTTATTTTATTTTATTTTATTTTATTATTTTTTAACTTTTTTTATACTTTATTTGATACTAGTATGTTTTTTTCTGCCAATTTTTTTTTGTCTATGGGAGATTCAAGGCATATATCTCAAGAATCGATAATATGTTTTTTGTAATAGATGTATCTTCATTTGCAGGTGAGAATGAACCTGTATCCTTTCGAAGTGCATTTCCCATGCACGCTAAGAAGAAGGCGAACGCTCAAACATCTGGCTGCAGCAAATCACATAAAAGGAGTGGGCGTGCGGCTCACAGTACAGATGAAAACATTCTTAATGCATGGGTCGCTTGTACAAAGTGCAGAAAAAGACGGAAGTAAATATCGCTTTGCTCTTGGTTGACATGTGTATCCTCTTCGATTAACGTTGTCTGGAACTTGCTATGTTTCTCAAGCATGATGAACATGAGTCTCTTGATTTCAACTTCATTCTTGGACAGGGATAATCCAGACGCAAATTTACAAAAATCAACTTGTTTTTGTGATAGGAGTACTCAAGATTCTAAGCATGCGAATTCCTTAGCACCTCAGGTACAGAGCACTTTTTTGGAGGATTCTGTATGTGCATGTGGGCATACGCTGGTCTCTAAGACGTGTCGGGCTCATTTTCTGCAATGCATGTGATTATTTTACTTGATTGTTTGATGACCTTGTTATATTTTCTTGTTCTTATATTTGAACCTCAGAATGTGAATTTCTTAATTTGAAATCTTCCTTGGTGGTCGAAGCGTATGTTCTTAGTTGTGAATTTTTTTTCATATACACAGCAGCATGATCAATTTCAAAAAGTGGAGGAGGTGTCTGCTGATGATAAGAACACATTACCAGAAAGAGAAGTTCCGACAGAGAAAGCAGAGTCGTTCAATCAGACCATCCAGATCGCTCAACGAAATATGGTTTGGGTCAAGGTACTTGCTGCTAAATAAATGCAAATTGCATCATTGTACCTTTGAAGCTATTTTCTTTTTCTTCAGAAATTGTGCGTGTGCGTGCAAGTTCTTGAGATTCGTTTTCGTTTTGTATGTTGATGATTTCGAGTTTTAATTCACTTAGTGTGTGAACTTTTTTGTCTTTCAGCGTAGATATTGTAGAATGGACATGATGTTAGCAGCGTGCGTGTGATACACACACACACACACACACAAACAAATATAAAGAAATTAAGACTATTTTTTAACGTTGTTTTATACTCATAAATGTAGGCTACGATAATTGTTTCTGTATTTTAGGTCCTGACCTTCGTGCCAATTTTATTTTTTATTTTTTTTTATTGACTTTTGTGCTGGGAAATGAAGTCTAGTCTAACCGGCCATTCTGTAACAGTTACAGGTAGATGGCAAGAATTGCCGGTGGCCGGGTTTGATAGTGTCAGAAGTTCCTCCAGCTATTCAGAAGAAACTTGGCGAATCTGTTGATACAGTAGTGAAAACTGTGCGACTTTTTCACCCTCGAAAAGATTTGGATGAATACCAGGTTGTGAGACGAAGGTGCGACGTTTATACAAGTAGTGTTGTCTTCCAAAGTCCACTGTTAGCTGAATCTCTCCTTGTTTCAAGAAGCTGACGATGGTTGATTGGTGTAATCTGTTCACAGCTCGATGCAGCCTTTTCATATCATTCCAAACTACAAGGACGGCAATTCTGATCCCGACTTTCAAGCCGCAGTTGCTGAGGCTGACGCATATTTTACTCAACCATCCATTTTGAAGGATGAATTTTCTCAACATGATATTGTCGACGATGATGGGTCCAAGCTTGATGTTAGTGATGCGGATGTTGGGTGTCTTGGAAAGGATGTACCTCATAATCAGATAGAATCCAACGAACCTAATTTACAGGTCGTTGAGATGTCTCGAGACAATCCTCATTGTTGCCAGCTGAATAGTGATAAGATGTCACTCGAAACACTTGAGTATGGAGGATTCATCGAAGTTCCAACTGAACAAGAAAGAAATGATCATTATCCTGAAGCCGGAAACATGTATTGTATTAGTGATCCTCAATGCAGTCATTTTGATGACGAGAAGGGTAGAGCAGTACTCGAAGATCAGGAAGTTATCCAACTTCCGAGTGCACGTATAGATTCCCCTGATGTTGTACATGGAATCGTCCCAAGAAATAACAGTGGTTCTCCACAATTTAGTCAAATCGAAGGTGATGAAGAAAGGATAAAGCTCCATGACGTGGAAGTTATCGAAGCTCCAATTAATCAGGAGATCGATGGAGCTTTTTCCGAGGCTGTTAATGAGTCTGGTTCAAGTTCTAAAAGAGATGATCCTCAATGCAGTCCGCCCCAAGCTGATGCGGAGAATCCAACTCTTGAAATTAAGGAAGTTGAGCTGGGAAAAGGTGAAGGTAGAAATTTGTTAAAACAAACTGATAAAAAAAATGAAAGTTCAAGTAATACTGAAACTGAGGTGGGAAGAACTGGAATACTTCTTACTGATGCAAGAACACCGGATGATGTGGAGATGAGTGAGAGAGCTAAAACTTCTGAGGCTTCTGGTTTGGAGGAGGCGTATGGGTACCTTGTGTTAGAATTGGAAATATCCTCTACAAGGAGGTTGTCTGCATATGATGACAGCACCCAGGTACTCTATTTTCAAGATGGTTCTGCAGTCAATATTGACGCCGAATCGCTTGGAAAGGCCTTTAACAAGAAATCTGTAGGACTGACGCTTCATGAATGCATTCATGAAGTTGGCAGAATGGCTATCAGAAGAAGATTTCCCAAAGGTGCCAGATCTTCAAATGGTCTCAAATACGATGCTTTAGACCGGAATGACGACTTTGCAAAGCGGCTCCGAGATACATGGGTGCGAGAGTACCAGGACGAACCCATGCCTACATATTTGAAGACTCGATTTGTGGCTGGGTGTGTACTGGAGGAAAGAGGTGAACCTGTGAACTGGGCGTCTGAGCTCACTCGCACTATTAGGTCGGAATTGAAAGAAATTAATATGAAGACTCGCAAAAGTTTGAGTCCCAGCGTTCTCAGGACAATTTTTCACTTGCTTGAAAATCAAGTTGATCAGGCACCTGTAGCAGCTGCATCTGTGCCGATTTTCAAAGCCGCGAAAGAAGAGAAGCAAGCGTACCTCACTGCTTACGATGGCTGCTGTCAAAAATGCAAGTGTGGAGGCGAGCTCTTGTAAGGAATCTGGTCACTGCTTTGTATTTTAGCCGGTTCAATGTCCGATTTCGTGTTTATGAAGAAAAGACGAGATCCATATATTATTATTTTGGCTTTTGTTTTTGGGCGATCATTTTTTTTTTTTTTCTTTTTCGCAAATTCGTGCTTTGTGAGGTTAAGTTCATTTTAAGGCATTGGAACTTTTGTGTCATTTCTACATGTCACAATTGAAGAACAAGCGTGATCTATTTGTATTCTAATGCCCTCTCCGCATTGGATTCTTGCTTCTGTGTTAAAATCTGTCTTTGGTCAATATTTTACGTTGGCATTACGTGATAAGATTGATGGAGCTCTCCTGCAGCTGTTGTGATAACAGAGATTGCAGAAAGACTTATCATTTAAAGTGCTTGAAACCCTCTCTTGAGGAAGTGCCGTCCACTTCCTTCATCTGTCCTAGTTGCTCAGAAGAAGTTTCCGGGCCTTGTGATAATTCAATCATCACTCGTTCTGTAGTGGAGGACGATATCTTACTGCATGTAGATGATGTATCTAGGTACCGCTGTTACTCTTGTTCGCTGTATGCGTGAAATTCTCACTGATTTTATGAACAGGAAACTAGTTTCTTTCATTTCGAAATTGTAAATGGTTAGCACTCTTGTTTTAAGAGTTTTATAATGTTGATTTGTTATTTTATTGGACATCTCAACATCAGGCAGAGACCTCTAGGCGTGGGTGAATCAACCACCTCTGACAAGATTTGCGCGTCATCCGGTGTCAACTCGAGGATGAACTTGGAGGTGGGTATACTGACCAAAAAAGCTGTTGGTGAGCTTTCTAGTAGTAAAAGTCATGAGAATAACTGCATGTTTAATGTTAACACCCCTGCTAATACCGTCACTATTTGTGAGGATGATGGTGGTGAATGATGTTTTCTTATTAGCTTTCAGTTCCTCTGCTCATGTAAATGAGCACGCTGTCTTTGTTGGTGGTTTTGGTACCTGTGGAATGGTTGTCAGGCACGAGATGAGAAGGGAAGGAATTATCAGGTGTTCTGTAACGTTGGTCTGTTGTAGATCTAGAGTGAAAACGGTTGTCAATTGTCACACGGTGGAGGGCACATTTTTTTCTTTCTTTATTGACTACAGATTTGTCTGTAGGTTCATTTGATACTCTCATACATTTGTTGTCTTTCATGAGAAGTTTAGTTGTGCAAAGTTTTCAACGTCAAGTAAGGTGCTGCTTTGTCTGCAGGAGAATATGCCAGTCAAAGGGCAGACAGGCAAGAAACACACAAGTGACGAAGAAGTTGCCATGGTTCCTGCTGTCTACACAAAGGATCAACAGTCAATTGATAATGAAATAAAACGACAACAATTAAGAAGCGACGAAGAGCAAGGTGTCGTCTCAGGATCATCTTCTCCAGTGATTCTTCAAGAATCGATTCCTTCTCAACCAAGCAATCTGGCTAGTCACAGCACTTTACCTATCATTTCTACCCAAGTCGATCAAGCATTGCCCTCTGATAGGGACCAACGGCATGAAACCAATGATAGCAGTCTGTTGCTAAGTACAGAGGTAAAGTTGTAGCATTTGCTGTGAATGTGAAGGAAACATAAATTTACCTTTTAATTTACGGTTTCAGTTTTTCGACGACTCCATATATAGTTCTGTTAGTTGCAAGACTGTACCTCCTGGTGGTGTATCGTTCAAATATGCTGGGTCTGCTTATCCCTTTGTGGTTTTCATTGACTAGCTTCGATAATTCTTTGAACTTAACGTGGCCTGCTTTGGTTTTTCTTATGTTTAGGTGTTGGAACCAACACATAGATTATTAGAACGTGACAATGCCTCCGACCAAAATGCTGGATCAGAAGTAAACCGTGACTCCAGGGGCAACATCTCACAATCTGTTGCACCAAATATTCCTGTGAATTCTGGTATGGGTATTATAGCTCCTATGGAAAAGTCAGGTGCTGCTGAAGGTAGTCGGCAGAAGGTAGCTATTCGAGATTACCACGAAAGATTAATGAAACACCTTTCAACTATTTGCTCAATTCTTGAGCTTCCCGTATGTTTCTTGCCTCCTTACTGTGTTCTTCCGTTTTCATAATTTTTTCATGAGTGCTTGAATTAAGTGTCTATGTTGATACTAATACCTGTCAGTTATTCATGTGGGTATTGATATTTTCTCATTTGATAAACATAATTTATTTTTGATGTCAGATTGAGTTTTCCTTCTTTTAGTACTCGTGTTTTCTAGTAATCAGATTTAATTTACTTCTCACAGGGATCAGTTAGTGAACGTGTAGATGCGTTGTTTAAGCACGTATTACAGTCCCAGAAGAACCTGCGCAAACCTCGTCCGCCACATGAGTTTATTGCGATTGAACTCGCAGTGGTACATACGATCACCTTGTTGTTCAATGTTGAAGCTTTTTCCCTATCTATGGATAGTTTTTTATTTAGTAAGAAACTCGTTCTTCTTTAATAAAATTTTGATCTTGTTGAAAATTTTGGTAGATTCGTACTGAAATTTTCGCGTACTGATATATTCGCCAGAGCAGGATACGTTGTATGATTTTGATATTAATCACATAATGAGATTGGGTCATAGGTTTGGTTGGCTGCCGATCAACTGAATTATGCAATTGATAAGTCGAGATCTATCACCAAGGTAGAGGAGGAATTCTGCGTAAGTTACGAAAATCGTCCGCAATTGGAAGGTCCTGTGTACAACAAGGTGCGGGATATTTGCGCAAGTTTCAAGCAGCAGCCAGCTCCCGCAGTGTTCACATCTGTTACATCAGAACCTGGTTTGGAACTTGAAATAATTCCTGCTAGAACCGCTGTAAATCACCCTTTCGAAACAGAGACTCCACCTCCTAGTGATGTATTCGTCCAGTCTACTGAAGGAGCGGAACCCACTACAACCGTGCCAGACCGCCCACTTTCAGTCGCTCAAGAGGAAGCTCAATGTGTTGAAACGGATGTACCATTATCAGATGTCCTCTCTTCAGCATCGCCATTAGTCCCTGTAACTCCGCCTGCAGATAATTCTCCAGCCGTAGAAGAATCTCAAGTGGCTCACCAAGGAAGCGATTCTCATGCAGCTCATGTGGTAGGTGAATTTCGTGTAGATGAAGCGAACGAGGAAGTTGTCCTTGTTGAGGCGGACCCTCGCTTTGTCTCTGAAGAACTTTCAGATGCACTTATTGACCACAATAGGTTAACTGTCTCTGAACCTGTTGGCACGGGGTTGTTAAGCGCTCCCATGGTGGAGCAAGGCTTAAGCTGGGTCCATGTTGACCCTCCTTCTAATGCGACTGTTACAGACGAACAAGACGCAATGCTGGATGATGTCACACCAGCAGGAGTTTCATCCTCTACTATAGAAGTCTTTGAAGCAGTAGGTTCTGGATGTTTGGGTAATTCACAATCTCACACAGATTCACTGCAAAATGGACACGCGGATGTGATTTCTAAAACACTGGGCGCCCATGCTGTGGGAGTAACTGCAAGTCCACTGTCGCAATCGCATGTGCAATTACCCTCCTCACTCTCGACTCAACCTCAGGTGAGGACTTGTTTTGATTATAGATAAATCATTTTTCTACTTAGATGCTTCGTAACGCTTGTGGTTGTAATAGTCCGCTGCATTACTTTGTTACACTGGATTATCTGTGGGTTGAAGATTTGTTCTTTTAGTGTCAAATCTGGTAACTGGAGCTTGTGATCTATTCATATGAAGTTGGAAAATAACAACTAGGGAAATGTTTGGAGTTCGTATTGTCGGCACTCAATGAATTATGTATCTTTTTAATCATAACTTGTTTCCCCCCGCCCCACTTTCCTTCTTTCTCTGTACAGAGCCTGTAATATTACTGAAGTTAACGTTGTTTTTCAACTTTATTTTAGGTCGTTTCAACAGAGCATGTGCATCGAACTAGACTAAATGCACAAGCTACAGCTGATACTCGTGCTCGTCTTAGGAAACAATCTTCGGCCGATGTCGTGTTTGTTACCCGTGCCCAGACAGTAGAGATGGGGCTAATTATGTCAAGGCTCAAAGGTCTCGAAAAAAGAATTGATGACGAGAGGAGAAGGCTCAGCGGTGGTACAATTGCAAACACTGCACAGTTGATTGCTGCAAACAACGAGTTGCATAAAGTGGATAGGAGGTCGTGGACGCGAGGTGAACAGGAGTTGAAGAGCCTGGAAGCTCGGCAACGTGCTGACCGTGACAAACTCAAAGATTTATACAAGCAACTTGAAGATCTGACAGTAAATGGTGTGTGTTCAGACGAGATCGAGTTGGAAATTAAGAGGCTGAGGGACTTTTACTCACAATTCCCCTCGTCTCCCGTTCAGCTGAGATCTTCTTTGGACCGACCTCCAGCTGAGAGATCTGTACCGTATATCTTATCAGGCACACCTGTGACTGAAGGCTTATCAACGAGGCTGGTGCAGGTGGATGGTCGCTCGGATGCTGGTGAATTGTTAATTTCAGGTAATCCAGCTGATAATCAACGGAGACATGTTGCCCTCTTTTCATCATCAGCTACTACAATACCTACGTCTATTCCACAAAATCGAGGTCGTTTAATGCAGGCCGTGACAGGCGAGGCAGCATCGAGTAGCCCGCGGCCTGCACCAGCGACGATTTCAACAGCTGCTGTGCACCCCAGTAGTGTGCAACTTCGTGGGCACCCGCAAAGAAGTAATACACCTGTACATTTTGGTCCAACGCCTAACCTGCAAAGAAGAGCAACTCTAGTAAGCAGAAGTTTAACTACTCCAGCGACTGTTCCTATTGTACCTCTTGGAATTGGAACTATGGCAAGACCCTCTACACCAGCTTCAGCAGCGCCTATGGTATGCATCCGAGCATCCACACTATACTTTTGTTCTCACCCTTTACGCAACCATTCAGGAACTAACAATGCTAGAACCTGGTAATGATAAGTAAACTTATTTTTGGTACTTGAAACGGTTATCACTTCCCTCTTTGTCGGCAACATCTTTATCCTCATCCTGTGTCCTTGCAACTTCATTGAACCGTCCAGAATATCTCAATTTTAAGAAATGTCATGTTCTGTTGTGAAGGTGTGCCTAATTAGAGTAAATTCGCTATGTGGAGTCTCTACTTAGGTCTCAATGCATGGCATTGGATTCGCAAATACCGCTTAATTCATTGTTATGCTCATGTTAATTCATACCAAAGTACTTCGTTAAGGGATTACGATAATTCACTACTTAGGAAGACAAAAGTTGCATTCTACATTACGGTCTTGTTAATTGTGTGCTTTCAAGCTATTGTTTCCGTTCGGAGTCAATATTAAATCATATTATGGAAAGGTTGAGAACTTGGGATCTCAAACGCTGTATTACTATCGAACAAGTCTCCTTTTCAACAACACTCATGTAGATAACAAAGTCTGGTGTTCCGGCACGCAGACTGGGAATGCGACTGGCCAGGTGTATCAGGATGTGCTGACAAAGGAGAAAGAGAAGCTGAATAAAGAGTTGGAGAAGACTAAGAATGCATATGAATTAGAGGTAACAACTTATCGCTCTCCCCTAGAAATTTGATTTTGAGTTCAGATGAAGTAAATGAACAGTAAGATTAACTGTCCAGTTGGATAGTGTCAATGAGGATTTGGGTTGCTTTTCATGTTGAAGGCGCGCAACCATCAACTTCAACCACTACAGTCTTAGCATCTGCTTTCACTCATTTTGTGCAGTGAGGTTGGGTCACTTCTATTGAGAACACAATTATAATTATCCCCTCCAAAATTTGTGTATTATGACAGTCACAACGGATAAAAGCAGAGTACGACAAAGAAGCAGAATTATTACATAAAAAGTACGAAACTCTACTTGTTGAGCAACATCGTGCTTTCACCAAGAGGCAGCAACAAGTACAGCAGAACATTATTAAAGTGGAATGGAATCGACAGTTGGCAGAGACTCTCAAGCTTCGCGAAGAACTTTCCGCTCGTGCAGGTAGGCACATGTTTATGTAAAATAATGTTTTTCGCTATTGCTTGTAATTTCTGCAGTTTTGTAGTAAGCAAATACACACATATTTTTATGCAGATTATTTTTCATTTCATTGCAGTGTCTTTCTTTTAATGCATTTTTGACTTGTAGTCTTTGCCTTTTATTGTCTACGAATTTATAGCTGTCTCGCTGTGCATAAAGCGTGGTGTATATTGTATGAACACATCATGTTAATGGTTGAGCGCTATCAATATGGATTGTGTCTCTTTCAGCGGTTTTTGCAGGGCTCTCTTTACAGACATTTGTGCAACCAATCGCAAATCAGCAATCTCCTTCACAAGTGTCTGGAAGGCAACCATCTGGTGGAGCTGTTGTGCCTCCTGTGCGTGTTAATATTTCTCGAGGCACCACTAACACTGGTAACTCGGGCATTTTGTCTGGTATGGTTCATCAATTTAGGTTGAAAGTTTTTATTTTTCGCTTTCCAACTTTTGGATAGTCTGAACATTACTGCTTCGCAAAGCTGAGGCTGCAGCAACTACTTCTTTTCATTGGATTCGTTGGAGATCTCACATGACCTGCTTATTATTATCATGATTTTTTGAAAATTTAAATCATGAGCAGCTGCATCCTTCAGGATACACTTGTTATGAATGACATTATCATATTTTGGCTGGAGAACAGGTATTTCTAGTATGCCCATGCAATTTCCGGGAACTTCCAGTACTCGTATGTCTAGTGTTCCTTTACATCAGACTCCAAGACATGGGTTACCACCAACCGCTCAAAATGAGCAGCCACAATCAACAATAGCTGAAGCTATGACAGTATTAGCAGCAGCCAGTGCGAATATAGGTATTTAAAGGAAGCCTTCATGAAGGTCGCCACGCCTTGTAATCCCAAGTTAAAAGCTGTTGGTTCAGATTTAAACATTTATTGAAATGCAGGAGAGACCGGTTTTTTTTTCTAATGGATTATATTTGCTTACTTTCGTTGCAGGAAATAATGTTGCTGTGGTGTCCCGAGACCATCAGGAAAATATCTCGTTGCCCTCTCCAAATATAAATACGAATGCTGATGAGTTGCCTCCACCACCAACATCAGGATCACCACTTCAAGTAGTGGCACCTACTGTGTCTCCTGCTTTTCAAGATCCAATATTGTCCATTATTCGTAATAGTGCAGCGCCTGTAAATCTTGTCGCTGCAGAAAATTCTTCAAGTGCTCTGGGAAATTTCACCACCCCGGTCACTTCCACTACTAGGACTGAATCTTATACACCTATGAATCCTTCAGTGATTGGATTGCAACATCAGGTACCAAGTTCACAAGCAGCTCCCGACCTGCCTCAAGCCCATCGCGGAGCAGCTACAGAAGATAGTTTTGGACCAGTCTCGAATCAAACGACTGGTCACATCCATCATGGAACACAAGAACGGGTGGCAGCCTCTGTTGCAGTCACTGAAACTCCTCACAGCTTAATCTACTTGTCAGATTCTGATGATGAGTAAATCAGATGTGTTTATACCAGTTAAGCGGAAGATCCACACGTTTCTGTATGCGAGGATTACACAATCTAGACATTGATTGCCATACCAAAGACATCAGGCAAGGGTTCAAAGCTACGACCAGTTTCAAATTCAAATTTCTGAAGGTGTTGCGCTTCACCCACGCAGCACCTGGCGATACAAGTTCATATTTGGAACTGCCCAACTAGAATGGTTGTGAGAGCTATCAATTCCGTTAGTTCTCACTCAACAAAGAATAACCAATCAAGCTGTGCAGGTTTCACTATGTTCCAAAGACAATTCAGCCAAACCATCACACAACCTGGCTCGTTACTTATCCTCTGCACACCTAAAAGTAGCGAACATCTTCTTTGTTTGCCGATACATGAAACCTTATATGGGTTCCCTTGGAGCTCTACTCCAGTGACGTCTTGTAGATTAATCATTCACTGTACGTGACTTCATGCCAACGTATTTGTACCAAAGCTGCAATATTGTAGGCGAATTTGTAATTCCATCAAAGCTTCTCATTTCTTTCTTGCGAATTTGACATCTAAACCAAAGTAATATTTGCGATTTTGGATCTTGAACAAATTGAGTTCTTGTCCATCAGTCTAGAGATTTGTTTGTGACCAAGCATAACGTTTGCAGCTGCTAGTATCAAGATCAATTCAAGGCACATATAGTTTTACAATTTCAATATAATTTTTTGAGGGAACATTCAACAATATCATATTAAAGAGTTGTGATTAAGGTTTCTTTGAATTTTCGTGTTTTTAGGAAATTATTTTTTATCTTAATTGAATATCTGTTTAAAGTTCTTATACTTTAGCCAAGTAAAATTAAAAGTACTTTCTAGAATTTTATTAAAATTAATGAAATAGTAGTAGTAGGATAACACCACTGAAATTTGATATTATTGGAAATCTTATCAAAATTAAATCTGGAGACAAAAAATAAATAATAAAAAATAAATTGAAGTGCTTGTTACTGAAAACTAATTATAATAAAGATAAAAAAAATATGTCAACAAACTTGTAGTTTGGAAAAATCCTACTTTGAAAATTACAAATAGAAACATGAGTTTTATGTTCTTATTACTTAATTAAAAATTATATCAACCTCTTTACAATTTTTTAGTACATCTTATAATAAATAAGATATAAAAAGAAGAAATAATCAATTATAGAGTTCTATTTTGTTAAATGAGTATTTATATATATTATTAATTCTTATTAGACATTATGTAAATGATTAATAACTGCAACTGTATTGTGGACAATAGTGAATACATTATTAAATAGTTGCCATGGCCATGGTGGGTTTTGTAGTCACAGTTGTCATAGCTATCATGTAGCCTAACAAAGAAAATATTTATATATTAATAGTTAGACTAAATGTTAGTGTATTTGCACTAAAAATTCCACATTATTAAACCATGGACTTATGTCATGTAAGAACTTAAGGAAAAAATTTACTTTTAAACAATTAATTTACTTGAATCCTTGATGGTTGAAAGGTGAGCTCATTAATATCAACGTTGGATGCTGTAGATTTCTCATTCAACAAGTTGATTGGTTTGTGAGGATTTTATTTCATTTTATTTATTAATTAATTTATTGTTTAGCAAAATATAATCTTTTTATCACCTTTAAATAGGTATTAGTATTTATAAAGCAATTTTATTTTTGTTAGCTTAGAGGAAGCAACAATAGAAGAAGAGAAATTACAATTTAATTCTTTAAGAAGAGAAACTCTTAGTTTCTAGTTACAAGCTATAGTTTATAATTTGCTCCCTCCCTACAAGCAATCTACACACAACAATGTTATGAGACATGGCAGCAATTATGGCAAGGCCTACTAATAACAAGACAAGACTAACAATCATGACAAGGCTAAATTATTAGAAAGCAGGGTTTTATAGAATTTAAGAAGCGATTTTTTGTTTTTTTATCTTACTTTTGAATATAAATTTGTTAAAATTGCCTTGAATTTCTTAACTTAAAAAGTTTTTAGGCGTGTTGGTAGCACAATAATGCTTCTAGCCAAATCTTTTTTTTGAATTATTTGAGAGTTTCATAGAATTTCTATAAATGTTTTTAAAAAAATAATATGAAAGTAAGTCTAACTTAGATCTCATTTCTATTCGTGTTCTACCTTTTTTTTATTTTTCATTTTTTACTTAATACATATTTCTTACAAGATGACATTTGACATCTATAAAAGATTCTTTTTTCTTCATTAATAAAGATTTATGGAAGGTTATTTGTAGAAAGTAAAAAAAATCTATTAAATCACCTATAGAGCAAGCAAAGTTAGAAAAATAGGAGGATATAAACCAAAAGGTATTATTTGCAATTTGCCTACAACTTACAAAGACAAATATTTTGACCACAAATAAGGCAAAAAGCAAAAAGGTAATTTAATTGGGTTTGGAAGCCACATCTAAGGTAAAAAATTATTGACCCTATTATACTTAATTTTCAAGTTTTGGACCATAAAAATAAGTGAAGTTTTTATTATCAAACATATATGCTAGTTATAAAAAATAATTAAGCAACTTTCTTCAATTGGCAAGAAGATTTTTAAAACACACTTTATTATGGTATTATTAGAAAATTTTAAGTGAGCCAATGTTATGATTTATATTATTTTTTTGTAAATAATTATATAAAACTATAAAACATTTGTAAAATTTTGGTCATAAAATAAGACAACAATGTAAAACTTTTATACCTTATTTTAATCTTTTATAATTGTATACAATGTACTACAAAAGATCTTATTTCTTTCTTTTTATTTTTGTATCAAAAGGAGCTGTAAGCTAATATTTGTGGATTCCTTTGGAATTTCCAAAGAAATAATTGATCATATGTTAAGCAAGCCTGCCATAATATACACACATATAAATGTATGTATATATATCTAAAAAAATATATAAAATAAGATTTAAATTCTATTATAAATATATATATATATATATATAAATTTAAAAAATATTTAAAATATTATATTTTGGTTTAATTTCTTATAATAGTATAAATTATGCTAAAAGAAATAATATCAAGATTGAATATACATTAACATTCTTCTATATAATAAATTCTTTCATTATGTATACAAAGAAGCAAAATCAAAATTACCATCGATCTTATTAAATTATTTTTGGATTCTAATACTAAATTAATATTTTCTTATATTATATTATTAGAAATAAGTAATTTTATTATAATCTTCTTTTATATATTTAAGATTTTAAAAATACATTATCTTAAAGTTTTCTAAAATTTTATTTACTAATATATATATATATATATATATATATATATTTGGATTTATATCCATATACAATATATTTTTTTTAAATCTTTTATAAGTCTAAGTTAGTATACAATATAAAGTTGTCTAATTTGTTTAGTTATAATAGCAAACTGAAGCTATAACTAACTTTTTAAGTTGTCTTTCATGTGAGGTTTTTTTGATCATTATAGAATAATATCAAGCTTAAAGACCATTAATTATCTAAAGTTTTCAAGGTATACGATTATTCAATTTATTTAGAAATGATGACAAACATATATATCACCTCAAATCTAAGATAGTCAAAGATGTAAGATTGCCCAATTTATTTGATAATGATATTCCATTAGAACACCGCTACATATTTAAGGTACTTAAAGATGTGAGGTTGCCCAATCTATTTGGCAAAGATGTCAAGATTGAGCATTTATATATTATAAAGGTTGTCAAAGATGTTAGATTATCTAATTTGCTTGGCAATGATATCAAACATGAACACCCACGTATATTAAGATTATTCAAAGCAAAAAAGCTACCAATTGATTTTAGTATTTTTTTCAAATTATAGCAACCATCATAATAGATTTTTTTTAACAATGTTAAAACCTCTTTTTATTTGATAGTTAAATCAAATTTAAACATCCTTTAAGATTAAATTCTAATAATATAGTTATTTTAAAAAATAATTTTAGAAACTGTTATATAAAAGTATAATTCCTTAATTGTAAGATATTCAAAGTCTTAAATTTCTTCCAAATATCTTTGTTATTTAGCATATGCAATACTTTGTCTATTACCTCTTCTTAAACTTTATATACAATTCATAGGTTTAGTAGATAAAAATTTAAATTAAGAAAACATCTTGTCAACTTACAAACATCTCTAGTCTATTTATACCATCTTTTTATGTGAGTATATCATTATTATAGTTTAACAATCAAAGTATTGAATTACAATAACTTCTAATTTCACCTAAAATATTGCTATTTAGATTGTAGTAACCTAATTCTTTCAATCATAAAAAACATAAGTTTGTTTAGAATGTTGAATTAGTAGTCTATTTTATAAAAATACAAATTTTATAGCAATATAACTAAATAAATCAGTAATAACTTTGCATCAACATACATCTTAATAACAAAATAACATCTAAATGATATGAAAATGTTTCATATCTATATATCAAATATTAATTTTTTATTATTGTTAGTTCTATAAATACCAATTGAATAATAATTAAATAAATTATCTTTTCTTAAATGTTATCACATAGCTCCACCTTTACATTTCAAATTTGTATGTTCTTATATTTGATTTTAGTTTCAAAAATATTTTTATCCATATCTTGTAGTTGATCATGCACTCTTATAATTCTATCTTTGGCTACTTTTACTAATGTTTGGATTAATAATGTATCTAATGTGTATTCCACATCTTCTTCTAACATCTTTTCTTTAATATTGGTCCATATGGGCAATGCTCTTTCTTTTACTGTATCTTTTGGATACACATCAAAAAAAAAAAAAAAAAAAAAAAAAAAATGCAATCAAAAACATATTATTTTCTTCTACTTTAAAGTTATCAAAATTTACTATTAATGTATCCAAAACCTTTTGTTTACTATTATTAATTTTTTTATATTGACTTTTGTTTTAGTCAAGAATGATTTTGACATTTCTTGACCTTCTTTCGAATCATTAGGTTTTCTTTTTCTTTTTCTTTAACTTTAAATTATTTTAAAATGCTACAAGATATTTTATAACAATCACTGTTACTTTCAATGCATTTAATAAAGCAAAGGCATCATACATATAATTCATGTTATTCAATGTAGTCTTTGTTATTATAATCTTGTCAATTCTACCAATTCCAATAAGATACAATGTCTTTATTTTACTTGGATAAAGTTGTGATATCTGCAATTAGTATTGCTATCTATCCAATATTTATTCTTTATGTAGGTCAATCTAAAATAAGAAGTTAAATAATAAATTAATGAAAATATATAAAAATTGATATATAAAATATATATTATATGATAAATTATTTTTTTTAATTTAAAATTTTATTTTAAATGTAACTATCATTATAATATATACATATGTATATAAAAAATAATATAAAATCAATCAAATCTATTTAATACCTTTTTATCTCATTTTTAAATATATATAGTATTAATAGAAATCTATTATAAATTTATTATGATTTCATATTTTGATGATGCTCTTCTTTAAATACACCAATATATGGTAATTTTATCATAAAAACTTTAGATATATATTTTTTCTTTAACACAATTAATTTCTTAGAAATATTTACAAAGTTTGGCTATTGCAAAGGATTCTAATGTTCTTGAATGAGCTCACTTAATTCATTACAATTTGAAAGTAACTCTTATCTTTCATCTTTCTTTATTCTTTCAAATAGATATATATATATATATATATATAAATATTATCAATTTTATTTTTTTATTTTTAAAGAATCTTAAAACATACCATTGCAATAAGTCTAAGCTATTTCATCACCTTTGATTTCATCATAAGTTATAATATTCAATATAACATATGTATTATCCTTGATGTAAGTCATCAAGATGTCAAATCTTTTTGTAATATGTTTAACATTCTTTTATAGATTTGTACATCAATTTCTATTGATTACGTCATCTTTTTTCAATAAGACTTTTATTATTGCAAAATGAGCTCGAAATTTTTTCTAAATATCTCATTAAGTATCTTCCAAGCTTAATATTGTATCAATTTTATTGAAGTAATCATTGATTTGTTCCATCTTAATTATGTATATTTGCTTCCAAATGCATGGTAGAAACCTTTTAACCAAAATGTATTTCTTGAATAGCTCCAAAATATATGCAATAATAACTTTCTTCCAATAATTTTAACTTTATCTTATTACAATACATTTACCATTACATGTTGGATTTACATTGTTATTTAAAGTATTTGTTTTCTGCTATTGTTATCATATTGATACATATATTTCCATATCCTACATACTGAACATGGAATCTTAAAAATACACCTTCAATCTTACATAATTTTAAAATTAATGCTTAATTATTACATATACTTTTTCTAATTTATCAATCATAATATAATAAAATGTACAAAGCTTTTTAGTATTATAAGTTATTCTTCAATCTTTATCATAGATTAAATTTGTAATAATCAATATTCTTAAAGTTTTTATGAATAAGGTATACAAGTAAAAAAATTAGTCAGGTTCAAACATGGATCACTATTTACAATTTTGTTTCTTCTTTTTGTCTTAAAGATTTTTATATTTTATTTCTTTTAAGAAAATTAAAAAAATTACTAGTAACTCAAAATCCTCAATTAGATTTTTTGACATTACTTCTTCCATCATACATTAATTCTAAAAAAAATTACCATAATTTATTATTATACATCATCAAATTTATGTTCTTCCAATTCATACTATCTTCTCAATACTTAATCAAATTTGGATAATCTTGAGATATAAAAACCCTCCACCTTAACAAACCCTAAGAAATTCTTGATGACTATTAACATGTAGGTGAATTGCATATGAACCTTGAAGTAACCAATCCAAACCCTAAAAAAACCCTAACAATCCTTAAAAAAAAACACTTCTAAATTCCACCTCTACCCAACATTACTAAATCCTTGAAACCCCACCCACCAAATCTTAACAAGCATATATTCTAATCCTAAAAAAATTATAATAATCAATTAAATATGATAAACATAACCACAATCATAAGCATAATGACCTTACCAACCCACACATACAAACTATGTTTTTTTTTTTTTTTTTTCTGTTTTTTTTCTTTTTTTTTACTTTTGTTGGTTTCAACGCCTTCTTTTGTTGGTTGACAAACTAAAACCTTCGCCTGCTTCCTTGATTCCCTCTCTTCACTCCAGCAGCCGATCCATTCACCTCAATATTCCTATCTTGATTATTATTTATTTTTTTGTTTTTATTTTTTTGTTTTGTTTGGAACCAAAATTTAAGCCACTTCAACAACACAAACATTCACGGCAATTCAACAGTTGAGCTCTCAGAACTACTCCTCCGAAGTTACGTGATTCAAACTGCGCAGGCAGTGGACCACCCAACAGTTCGTTCGTTGCCAAAATTCGTCTTGTATTCGATTTCGATGACCCTAAGCTTGTCGGCTTACCCAAGGAATTCCACCGCAAGATTCACTCATACAAGAAATTGATCCTAGAAAATCCAAAACCCTCCAACAATGAACCGACTCACAACCGATGACGTATTTCAACTGTATTAGGCACTCGTACAAATCCTAACGAGGCTCTGGAGAAGAACCAGCAGCGTTCACATCAAGGGCTCAACGCAGTAAGCACACGCAGCAATTCTCGACATTCAAATCACAACATTCAACTTGTGCAATGTATGGATTCAATTCTGATCCAACGAATACATCCACAGTACAACTAGAATCATGTATGCAGGGCCTTCCAAATTACACAAGAAGCACTCATATAGATCTCAAAAGGTTTCTGGGCCATTGCTCAGTACTTGCCTACCACCTGCACAATCTTCTGAACTACCCCTCTATTCCAATCTTGCACCAACGACAAAAGCATTAAAAGAAACTCAGAATCGCGTCCTCCAAAGGCATCACCATAACATTCCAAAGCCCCAACAGGCGATGTGTACTAACCTGTCATTTTTTGCCATCGAAGTTCTCACCTACATCTTCATTGAAAAATTACCAGATCTTGTCCGAGGCTTTACGGGCCAGCAAGTTCTTGACGGTTTTTGAGCCGCTTTGCTGCTGCCACATTCTCGAGATGAAACCACTCGTGAGAATCATGCCCGTGCTGCTTGGAGTTCCAACATGGACGAGCATGATCAAGAGAGAGGTGATGCAATACGTGTATTATATTGTATGCACTGTTGTGAGAAAGTCCTCCAAAGCAATCTGAAGTTTCTAGATGAAGACCATATTTTTGCATCCTTTTTGACAAGTGGATGAAATTGTTGAAAAGGTTTCCAATTGAAGATCGAAATATGGTACAAAATATGCAATTCGACGGGGTCGGGGATGTAAGAATTTGACGCACAGCGTATACAGAAATGTGCCTGCCATCGTACAAAATGTAAGATGCAAGCAGAGCGATGACATACTCAACCGTCCAACCACTTCAAAAAGTACATTGACCTCCATTGATCAATTGTCAGAAGACATCAACTGCAACTTCAAGAGACGAAGTGTGAAGCAGAAAAATCTGTATTAAATAGTGATATTCATTTGGCTCTCCTAGAACAAGAATGTGCAGCCGTTAACTAGCTAGTAACTTCTGCTTGTACAATGGTGCCTTCTACAATGATGCTCCAATCTGTTCTCTCTCCAGCTATCATGGCACGTTCTGGAGCCCTTTGTAAGCAGCTCTGTCACCCACAAGCCGATCAATATTAGGATCACCAAGCTTTCCTGACTTTGGGTCACATTTCCTAAAATGTAGTGTGCAATGTGACGTAATGAGACCATAACTCCAGCAAAAGTTCAAGTACACCAAAAAAGTAGGTTTCCGAATCAATTCAAAACCACAGCTCCTAAAGAATTCAAAGTTCACCCAATTCATTAAATCATAAACAGCACATTTATGTAAATAAAACCTTCCACTGAAAATACACTTTGAAAACTGTAGAGTACCTGAGCACAAGAGTAAACAACAAGTGTTGACCACTCCCAATCATCAGGTCCATATGTTGAAGGGGGGAGGTCTTTGTAGGCCTGCTGCAAAAAGTAGAGGACTGGAGGCATCAACTGCATTTCATACACGCGAGGTCCTCCACATGCGCCACATGTACCTGGTTCATCATGAGCATCTGTGGCCCACAGCGGCCGGCCACCAAAGCAGTATCTGCAGCAACCCCATTTCAATATCAATATCCAATTGCATCATACTTTGAGTGCTCTGACGAATGAATTTTTGACAGAGGCATCAGCAACTACTCTAGTGCCTTAACAAATAACTAAGCCTGCGCAGTCGACTAAAGCACAGCCTAAACAACCAAGCGCAAGGTAAAATCACATAAAAATAAATGTAAACAGACTGAAGAAGAGAAAAAAACGGCCAAATCAAGAGACTACGTCAGGTGAACGTCCAATTAAAAGTATGGTGAAGTAGAAAGAACCGTACCTGAAACACTGCTCTGGACTTAAATCCAACTTTTTCTTAAACTTGAGATATGTTCGATCAGCAGATAACGCACGCTCAGGCTCATACTCCTCCCCTTCCCAGAGTTCCCCAACGCCTTCGACGATGCCGTAAGGATCTTCTATGTCATCCAAAGGATCGTCCGCCTCTCCGTCTGCCTGATTATCACTCCTAGAGGTGGCACTTTCATAAGGAGTAGATTCTTCACTCTGGGTGTAGATGTAGAAGCATGGAAGTACTGCACCAACGCATTGAGTGCATCAATAATCCCTACAAATGAACTAAAGACTCAACGCAAAGAAGAAGAAAGAAGTTAATGTTCGTACATGGCAAAGAGCTGTGGGATGAGCGATTTGAAGTCGCAGCTTCCCCTGAAGCTGAGCCAGTGTCCCTGTGGTGACCCCGCTGATGGTGGTGGTGGTGATGGTAATGATGTTGATTTCTCGATCCTGCAGCCGCATAACCAGCCTCCAGTAACGAGGTCTGCAGTTCCTGCATGTTCATGGATTCGGATTGATCATCCCCAACATATCCATCCCACGAGTTCTCACCAAACCAATCAATGCTGAGTGATGCGTCCTCGCCCCACCTGTGTACCACATAACATGAGGAGATTCAGAACCCAAAATACAATAAAAAAAAAAGAGCATAAAAGCCAAAATACCAGAGATTGCTGAAAGATTGGCCATGACAAGGAGACGCTCGCTTCAAGGAAAAAGATCACAAGTGCACCAAATCTATACCCATGATTGTCCAGAGGCACTTCGCTCAATTCACTTTGGGGTCCACTTGATGCAGTACTAGAACCGGCTGCACTCTCTGTTTGGTCCTGCTGGGATGAGTTTTCACTGGGAACATCTTTCTGAAATCGAATTGTACGCCAGCTGTGCAGAATCCAAATCGTGAGAAGTCCGTGAGGCAATAAACCTCTAACGCTTCCCTAAAGCCATGTTCAAGTTGGAAAGGTAAGACTGAAAAACCACACAATATGTTTCATTCCATGTATGATAACGAAGAAATACACCAACATAATGACCTCAACTAAATACCTGCTGCGATCAACGCCACAACTCGCAGACGGACATCCTAAAATAAAGAGGGACCGCTCCTCAAGCTTTGATCCGTACAGCGTAAGAGGTGCATATATCTGCGATGATTAACCACGCTTAGAAACCAGCACGTTCACGGCTTTTACTGCTACCAGAAAATACATTCGTTAACTATCGCCAGGATTAGCGACTGAATGTATTAAAGTGTTGAATGGAAAACCCTAAAGTTTATAACCAACAGAAATGCGATCTCAAATGAACCATGCTCTGCTTTTACCAAAAAGCTGCAGGCAGAAAGAAAAAGGAAACCGAAGTCCAAATTAACTTGCCTATCGATCAATTCTATTGACATGATATTATATAAATGAGGCTGCCTAATATGTACGTGACAGGAGAGTGAGAATTTCACAGATGCGAATAGAGGAACACATGGTCAGAACCTGTGCAACGAGCCCCAAGTAGCCATCACAAACACCACACTTGAGTAACTCATCGTTGACATCCTGAAGAGGGACTGGCCAATCCTGCACATACCCAACGAGTTCAAACATAGTGAGACATCGCCAGATACACAATCGTGTACTCAAAAGAAGCACAACCAACTTCGGCATTCAAATGGCACCTTTCCAGCTTCGTTAGGCGTTGCATACGAGAAAATATTTTTGTAATCAACAGGTTGAAAAAAATGGTAAAAATGTACCGGTTGACCTCCTATTTTGGTTGTGTAATGGTCGGCAGGTTCGTTAGTCTCCTCGGCCCATGCCCCAGGCAAACCAAGTAAAACCTCCTTGTCATCCTGGGCGGTTCGAGACAGGGCGGGCTATCAGTTCACTTAGTTTTGCAAGTATCAAGGACTTTCAAATTCCACACAGGCCGATACTGCATTACTCCTCTAAATAACCCATCAAGTTTTAGCCGTTCTAAAATTTTGTCAGACGTTCTGTAAAGCATTGAGATGATTGCACCCTCCAGTTTACCAATTCGCATCCATCCGCTGCAACTTATAAAACTGTAATCCTTTCTTTCAACAAGTTTCCAGAACATTAAAGAAGTTAATGCGTACTCTAACGCAAGCTTTATTGCAGGTGATGCATTGCGGTTGATGAACACAAAACCCCGAACCAGCACCAGAAACAACCAAAACAAACTGAAAAAAAGCGAGAATTGCAAAGACATCAAAACCATCCCATGACAGAATGTAACCAGAGGCTACGATCAGGTGAACAGACAGCCCCACTTCATCACACCAAATGTTACAAGCTCCGAAAGAACACACGAAAATTAGGTCAGAAACCACTGCGCCTCAAAACTCCCGTTTCCCTCAAAATCAAATGTCAGGGAAAACCTTCGTCAATCTCAAGTGATCGTAACGATGACATGAACACCAATACACCACATCTACATCAGTAAAATGCATCTGCACGCCAAATGTTTCTCATACTATTATTTTTTCTAAAAAAATAACAATAATAACAACAAACGGCCACCTTATAAAACTCCTGATATGGTAATCCCATATGACCCCAATTCATTCATGAAACAAAAGAGGAAATGAAGAAAAAGTGCGATGCAGCGAAGGGAGAGGATTGTGGGAAAGGAGAGCGGGGGTAGTACCGGATCCACCAAGTCAGAGGGCAAGGGTTTGCCCATGGAGATGGGAAAGCGGTGAGCAAAACAACGCCGGAAACAGAATATGGGCACAACAGCGAAGCGAAGGGGAGCACAAGGCAGCAAGGCAACAAAGCCCTGCCCTTTGGGTTCTAGCCAAGACCCCCTTCCGTCACCAAGTCCCGCTTTGATTCCAAGACTCCCTTCGCTTCCAAGTCCCGCCCGGTCAGCACGCAGATGCTGCAGCGTCCACACGGCCTGGCATGGGTCATGCTGCATTTCAAATTATAGAGTTAATTGTTTTCAGTAAAATTAAAATATAATATAATTTAATTTAATTTAATAATAACCATGTGGATTTTAAAATTTCACAAATTGTTGTTAGTTTTCAAATATGACTCTTCAATTAATATATGTGTGTATGCAAATTTATGTCCTGGATAAATAAGGGTGGAAAATATGTTCTCTTCGTCAAGATACTTGAAATTATACGAATATAAATGATCCAAAGTAGATAATAATTACATATGTCAATATCACAAGTGACAATGAATACCAAGGATAATTTCTTAGCATTTTTCTAATTGAGTTCTTTTGAACACTGCTTAAAGATACTGATAATTACAAGTAATCTTTAATAATTAAAAAAAAGTTGGTTAAGGATTTTTATGTATAGATTTTATCTTCATTGGAATCTACATCTGTTAGTATTTATTCTGACACAAATTTAAAAATAATAAATTGTGTACATTTACCACCAAATAAAGAAGTAAATAAGTCGAAAATTCAATATGAATTTAGAATCTAAGCATGAATAAAATATTTATATGTTATGAGAGCTAAAATAAGTTTAAGAAAAATTAAAACCCAAACAAAAAATAAATAAATAAATATATATTCAAAATTGGTGATAGGAGCTACTACTTCCATCAAATGATAAAAAGTACAAAAAAACACTATGTTTTCATGTTAATGTGATACAAACACACTTATAACAACAACAATTATAGTAAAGAAAATAATTATAACGAGATAACATAAATACTTGACAGATGGGAATTTCAAGATAACGAAAAGGAACCATTTTCGGTTCGAGAAAAAAATAATAATAAATAAATAAATAAATGTAAAAAGCAGTAAGAGCATTCAAATGCCATCACCATGAACTAATGTTTATTCCCGAAACATGTGATAGTAAAGACATGTAACAGCAACACAAAATCTGTGGAAATTGTTGTAACTGATCTCAAAGGCACAAGCATTCAATCCAGCAAAAGTTTTGGTTGCTGGTGATTACGAACACATATCTGCAGACACCCAGATTGGAGTTTTCTTTTTAGGAAGATAGCCAATTGTTCCCTAATTTTCCATGTCCACTTACCCAAAGTGATACCACAGCAACTGGAAGCTATTGTGAGCTGTAGTAAGCCATTCGATACAGCCCTTGGTGAGCTTGACCACACACGTTTCATTAGAGTTGAGTAGCCTGATGGTCTCATGTTTTGTTTTACTACTCGTATCATTCTGTTTCTACGGCAGCCTTATGTAAGAAGAATACATTTTGATTGTCTCCAACCATGTAAGCCATCTTCAGCAAGCCTAACCTCAAAAGCCCAAGTCTTTGGTTGAAGTCTCGGTAAGTTTGTCTACATGAAGACATGTCTTTCAACACGAAACGGTTCAAAGAGCACTATGCTATTGCTCTTCTGGACTTCATTAGCATACTTTCAAAGAAACGGTTCATTGCTCTGTTTCGCAAATTCATTCACGAAGAATGAAAATAGCATGAAGATGAATCCAGCTGCTACCCGGCGTACGGGTCAGCACAATCATTCACAAGGCTACCAGGCTCAATAACCACCATCGCAATAGATGGCAAACAGATCCATGGAGCCGGCTTTTCATTTCAGGTGGGCAATCACGATAATGACTTAACAAAGACATCCAATGCGCCGCACCATGGGTTTCTCTGAGATACCCATGTCAAGTGTAATTATGGCATTAAAAAGCTTAACCAGTGTGCGTCATGCGCAGAGGGACGATAATCTAATGACTACAAAAAAATCTGCAACTTCTGTACCTGTTGATCACTTCTTGCGAGTGCGATTCGCATCTACTAACTTGTTCATCTGGGACAATGAACAGTTCGAGGCACTCAATTAAATGCCATTCTAATTTAAAAGGACTACAGATACTGAAGTACAAGATCCGCGCTGGCATGATATCTGCAGGTGATGGACATCATCAGCATCATTGAAGAAAAATCAAGATGAGAGGCTTGCTGGAACATTGTTATATACAGCACCGGCAGCAGGAGAAAGCAAACAGCAAGCACTTCCAAAAAGTCATCGACACGTGATTGAAGAAAATACCTTTTAGGATCTTTCCAGAGCAAGTCGTAGATGACCTTCCTCAATCTCCCCCTTGACAGCCTGCGAATACCCCACTTACTGTACAAACGATACCGATCTCGCATACTTGCATTTGTTGCTATATTTATGTAAATAGCATCTCTTTGCTGCTTGATAAGCTCTTTATGTGACTCTCTGGTCTCCAGTTTCTCCAACAGCCTCTCGATGTTCTCAATCTCCCACGCTGCTGATTGTGAGCTGGTGGGCTCTGGCTTCTCGAATGCTAGCTTAACCTTTCATTACCAGATGAACTGTAAGTTTTTTGAAAATGTTCTGATCACTCACCACTGAGACTAACAGTTCCAAGCCTTCAAGACAAACTCCAGAAGCAAAGTAATCAACAATAATCTCTAATTGGTAAGACACGATTTCGTGTTACTTAGTCTCGCAACATGAACAAGAACAACTGATTACCTCGTGGCGGAGTAAATTAGGATTCGTCATCAAGCTCTTGTATTTGAGGGATCTTGTCACAAGGTCCATACACTCCTCATCCCATACTTTGCACAGATCATGCAAGGACGGTCCACGACTCTCGAGACGCCTTAATCCATCATCCGTCATCATTCCACAATCAGAAATCAACCCGCAATCCCAAGCAGATCCAGTGCTTTTCCTAAAATTGCAATCAGATTCTTCTGCAAGAAACAGAGGACCAGAAAGATTCTCTGGTCCCCAAGAATGCTGAATGCCCCTACGATCAACCATGTCTTCATAATTAACCTTGAAACAAGAGTATTGAGGACTATAAGAGTTCAAACAATCATCTCCAACCCTGGGTGTTGACGATTCCTGGTTAGTGAACAGTGTCCTAGCACGCTTTCCAGACCCTCCCTGCAGTATGGACAAGACAAATCATCAGCTAAATTTCTAGTTTGAAATTCTTGATGGCTATCTGGTCAGGTCATCTCTCAAGGTAGAGGTTGAATCACGCAAGCATGTCCATGCATCTCACAAAAACGACAGCATGACGCTTTGATTCGAAACATGACGGTGAGATCTTTTCCAGTACCTTCTCGACCTCAGCCAACGAGTCCTTCCCCGGATGCAAGGTTCGTGAAGATGTAACACTTTCAGTATCAGAGCCAAATTTGCCTTGAATTTTTGAATACGGACTCTGAAGAAAATGTTTTTTTGAAACCGACGAAGCGCTGGATCTGTCAAGATTACAAAGTGCGGCAGAGCTTGAAGCATGCGGCGAAACATTTAAGCACTGATCATCAGGAGTAACGGGGCTGGTGTGAAGCAATCTATCACAGAGATTTCTCTTTCCAAGTAACGGACCTTTTTCCTCTGGTGGCGTGAAATGTGTATCACCATCGTATCTTATCTGGTCGAAGGAGATTCGCCTACTTCTTGAAGGCAGAGTAGGTTTTGATATGCCAATTGCTTCACAAGACCTTGAAATCGGGTGATTAGACCGCTGTACTTTGGGTTTGATAAAGCTACTATAGTGGTTACTGAAGTCGGTGAGGTACCGATCCATGGTAAGACAATTGACGACAGGCTCTCCCAATTGTACAAACGACATTCGTTTAGGGGAGTCGTCAGCGGCTGCTACATCCCATACCACAGAGGAGGCATAAAAGATGTCAGACGAGAGGTCGCTACCTTGATGTTGCGGTGTATGCTTCGTAGCAACGACGTTACCATCTACAGCCTTATCACAAAAGTTGCCTTCGTCCGCAAATGCAGTCAGCTGAGGAGTTCCTGGATCCTGCTGCTTAATGATTGAGACTTCACTTAATGACCTCTTTGAATCCCTTCTTGGAGAAGATTCGAAGCCATTCGCACCATTGTCAAGTTTTTGCTCCACAGGCTGCAAAAACTCGGTCACTGTACTCAGGCGTCTTTTACTGTAACTTCGTGAGTCTTTAGAAGCTGGAGAATCATCCAGTTCTTCGTAAATCTCGAGAAGCTCCTTGCCATCAAGAACATTCTCTGCCCCTTGGCTAGGAGATGTAGCTGGCTGTAAAACTTCCGGGCCATGTTCATCCTTCAAACAAAAATCAAGCTTCCTTGCTGATTCAAAGGAGAAAATGCTGCTAACGAAAGTCTCATCGTTAGCTGTATTAACTGTTTTAGTTTGAAATGATCGGACCGATCTGGTCATATAGAAGTCATTGGCAGACTCACAAGAGCTGGCCAGTGACCTTGAGTCGTCTGATGGACCCATAACAGGATCTGGGCAGCCTAGCATAAGTTTGTTAAGCTCATCTAGGAGTTCATTTTCTAAAGCAGGTGGAACTGAAACGTATGAACCCAAACCACAGCTCTTTGAAGGCGCGATGGCAGATGGAGCCCATCTGAAACTATCGACATCATCTTTAGAAAATGCTTTATCTCTCCAGCGAGATGGATCAGTGATCTTGGGGGATATTTGAAAGGTGGGCTCGTCTATAATGGGAGTTTTCACAGCACATTCCTTGATTGGGTGAAAAGTTAAAACGTTGAGGTCAGGCTCCTCGGGAATGCACATCAGTGCCCGACAAGAGGATGACGTCATCTTCTGACCTATCAAACCATGTTGGGACTTGGAATTCGGATTCGAAGGAGAAGTGAAAGAAACGTTTGTCACCATAGAAGTGCCCCAGCAGCTTTCAGGCGTATCCGACACATCAAGGTCAATAAACCACTCGTTTGGGAGATGGAGTCTATCCTCTTTAAATCCCCCGCAAGGCGATATTTCAACAAAGAAATTGGACTTCTCACCTTCACAGGTAGGAGAAGCCCAGTCCTTGGTTGGGGAGTGTGGAAGCTCAAATAAGTCTAAGAGACTAGAATGTTTTATATCTGGTTCTGCTGGGGAAGATTCACCAGCTTCCCGCTTGTGGGACGTCCAATCTTTCATGGGTGTAGGAGGCAATGATCCATCTATGCTAATTTTAGCAAAAGCGAGTTCCTTCGCAGGTGAAGAGGCAGGAACGTCCAGAGCGCACATATCAAATAGCCACGGATTCAGAAGTGGGTCTAGATTTTTACAACCATTCTCCTCCTGTAATTGGCTGCAGATCCTGGAAGGGTTGACAAAGTCACTGTCTCTGGAGTCATACTCTGAGCAGGGCAAAAAACTCAAAAACTCGGAGAAAATTTCATCTTCTTGTATGGCTGAAATATTATCCTCGTAAAGTCGTTTGACTGCAAATCCAGCCGCCTTCAGATTTCTCTGAGACTCTTTCTCTGCAAAGCCAGGGAGCAAGGTAAGCTCTTAATCAACATCAACACGTTCGAATTTACGACTATAATCATCGATGCACAGTACATTCTGGATGTCCAATCACGATTCTTCCTCGACCATTCTCTTTGATATTACAAAAACACATGTAATAGTTGCCGGGTATTGCAGTATAACCAATTGAGTTCTTGCATGGTGATTCGTAAGGGGTTCCCGGATCAAGCTCGTCAGATTCGTTGATTTCTCCATCGACCTCGGAGTTCACGCAATCTGCAAAATCCATTTCCTTCTTGGTGCTATCTATTACGACGGCAATTGAACTTGATAGCCTCTTTTCTTCTCGCCATCGTCTTTGCATTGTGAGAGTGGCATGTCTGAGGCACCGGTATTGGTTTGTGGCCAAATACATGCGCCATTGAGCCTGCGCGACATTAAACAAGAGAAAGATGAGAAGACGTACAGACACCCACACAGGATCAAGCCTTTCGCCTTTGACACAGTTGTCAAAAGACCTGGTGTTTAAGTCTTGAAATTCATGATTCAAGAGACTACCTGTAGAAATGGCCTCAAAAGTACTTAGGATGGTTACACAAACCTGAATCCTAATTGCTGCATTTTCCATCTTGGCTGAAAAGTAAAAACTCGAGGAGCCCAAATGTAAAGCACCTCGAGGTAATCCTCGACCAGACGTCCTCTCTTTTGAAAGATGCCATTTAAATCTGATTAGTGATCTACGGAGTACAAGGGGTGAAAGCTGAATCAAGTTAGAAGCCTTCGAAGGAGTTCGAGTCATGGCTTCAATCCGTCTACACCCTTGATGAGTGGCCCCTGCTCTATGAAGTCTCCCTTTGCCAGACTTCTTAACTTTGCTCTTGCGTAAAGTAGTAGACGTCTTACCTCCTTTCCTAGTCGAGGAAAAAGATGAATCGCTGATTCTAGCTGGCATCGAAATCCCTCGTATTTTATCCGAAGGTTTAGACACCTTCACCCCATCTGCATATTTTCATGATACGCCTGTTAAACGGTCGCAGACTTGCTTTGTAACAAATGTTATCAGCGTGTGATCATTTACATACTAAGCAAGCCCATTGCTTCACGTCTGGAGAGAACAACGTGCAAATCACAGACAGGATGCCTTAACAGCGGGAAGAAACTGGTTCAGTTCATGCTTGCCTGACTTACAAAACTGATGACATCCTAAAATCATTCGGGATGATCGAGAAGCTTGAATGCTACTATAGTGACTGTAAGCATCAGAATTCAAATTCTGAAGACGAGGCGAAAATTTTCTCCAGTAATACATAGTCTTCTCCCTTGCAGCCCCTCTTCGCTCTCCTGATACCAAGCAACGAACTGAGAAACGGGACCTCCATGTTATAATGAATTTCAGGGATTAAACATCCAAAATTTTCAATTCGCTTCATCGACTTCTTAATAGCAACTTGAAAACAACAGGGCACGATAGCGAAAGAAAATTCAGCGACTACTGCTGTCAAGAGAAAGCTGTAGCTCCAATAGTTTTTTTTTTATTTTTTTTACCATTGTGGGTCTTAGAAGGACTCTCCCAATCTTTCTTCACCAGCGTATCCTTACAGTATTTTGACAAGTAAGCCAGTACAGTTTTATCTGCGTGGTACAAATCTCTGCTTCAAAAAGCACGATAGTTTAGATACTTGTATCACTAACCAATTGAATTTGCGCACCACAACCCGCAATCCTGCTTTGGAATTTCATATCCTTAACTAGCACATAACCTTCCGTGCTTCTTTAGTTCACTACATCCTTTTACCGCTGGAGAGCAGCAACTTAAAATGGATAGTCTTCAAAATCGTGACCAAGGGCAACTATTTGAAATTAGCTGTCCCTGAACACAAGAAAACTGATACACAGAGGGACTTGAAGATACGTTCGACAAAACACACAGGCTAAATCGGAACTGGAAATGGAAGGTTTGACACCTGCAGTGCGACCGAGCGAATAATTTGTGGTGCTTCCAAGTGTCTGCGTGATACGCTTCCGGACTCCGCAGGAGTACAATGCTGTTCAGAAACTTCTTGTGATTTTTCACCTCTCCTTGCAAATTTAACCCGGCAATCCTATTCTTCTCCCACGCATTCTGAAATTTCCTGCGTGCATGCATGTTTCCCTTCAGGCTGGCACGTCCACATGCCTTCTGTTTCTTCCAAAACCCCTGAAAAACGTTTCGGTAAGCTTAACTTAATCCTTTCTGAGGACTGCGCTTGCCAATTTTTGATACGCACGAAGCATCACACGCCATCCTCTGCTGAAGTCGCCCAACCATCAAAGCGGGTCAAACGCTGAATACAACTTTACATTTCCAGTCCCTTCTATGCTTCTGAGGAACTGAGACACTTAACGCGAGCTAGGGGTTGACCAAGTCAGGTAGAAGACAAGGCAATTCCCTGGTGAATTAGAGCAAGCAAGTATAAAACATTCGAGTACCCTCGACAGCCTACACCAACGCCGATCGATGATGTACATACTCAACACTAACCGGAAACCAATCAATTTATGGCGTCGAAAGGGTTGAGAAGACGCTCTCAACTCACTCCAACTTACATTGGCAATCTCAGCTGTCTCAGACGCGAAAAATGAAACTCAGAAGTCAATGAGTGAAGATGAAAAAATGCAGCCAAAAAATGAACTACTGTCCTATGTACCTCAAGAGGTGCTTTGTTAGGGATCGAATTCCCTACGTGGAGATTCAGCTGAATTTTAACCAAGATATACTCATTAATGAGCTGCTAGTTGTAGATAGAGAAAAGGTGGGAAGAAGCTTAAATCAGTTGAGACACAGAATTTGAAAGTCTCAGCATACAACCGAGAAGAAGACGACCTGCTACTAGAAAAAATGAAGGAATCTGAAAGACAACATCACGAACGGATCGAGGTGGAGTTCAACAGGACAGGCAACCTAACATTCAACCTCCCAACAGCTGGAAAGAAAGGCACACTGCAACAGACGCCAGCGAAATTGCACTTGCTCGGAAGATCGATATCCAACCAAACCAAAAATCCACAGCGTCAATCGGAACGAATTCCGGAATGCCAAAGCCTAACAGAACCTGAGAGGGCAGAAATCAGCTGCAAACTCCACACCATTCTCCCACCATCCCAATTGGCCTGCGCACTGAACCTCTCACATGTACCTCCGTACTCAGGATCGCAAGCCTACCACATGACCATCGCCAGTGCAAAGCACGATAAAGAGGCGTCACGCTGAAAATGGTGCTCGGAATCAATCAACTAGGAAGAACTGCAGCTTTTCGAGAAGAAAAACCCATGGCACCACGATCTCCGGAGAGTGGTTACTAATAGGAGAAAAGGGACGCCGAGCTAGTTAGGGACATGAAGGAAGTATTTCCACTGTTCAATCCACTGAATTCTTTTTGGTCATTAAAGCTTCGGCTGCGGTGATTGGAGATGGAGATCAGAGGCTGCAAGAAGAAGAAGAAAGCTGCGGCCGAATTCGGAAACATGCGAAGATCATGCTCGAGCTTGCTTTGAGCCATAGCCACGCTCCACTCTCTTCTCCCTTCTCCCCTCTCCCTCACCTCGCTGAAGGCCTTCGTTCCATGGTGGTGGAGCCCGCCTTCTGTTCGTCCGCTTCTCTGTTCGTCCGTTCCCCTTAAATGTACTTATGTAAAATAAATCGACAAAAACAACGAAATCATTGCTTCATTAGTTTGTAAACTAGTTAAACTGAGAGAATCTCCCTCAGTAAGGAAATTACATGTTGTTTGGGGCATGATAATCTGAGAGCCAACTGTTGTCATCGTCCTACAAACAAATTTCATATGAACAAAACCATTGCATTATTTTAGTACATGAACGATGCATTTTTATTAAGATCTATGTTAATGCATGTTTCAACCTATGTGTATGTAATTATTGCATATTGTACGTTAGGAGATGACTATGCCTACAAGTCTACTTTGACGCATAGTAGTTCATACGTCTTGTGAAAGTCCCCTACTTTGTAAAGAAAATTCTGTTTTGGAAGCTTTGGCTTTTGGGTACAATATTATATATATATATATATATATATATATATATTCAATATGTTATGATATATGCATTTCAATATATATATAATGACATAAGCCATACAAAAAACACAAAAATTATAACCGTATTCTTATGTAAATTATATATGTATCGTTATTTTAGTAAATATGGTATTTTAAATTTAAAACTTACAAAACAGTAAATTTTATAAACTCTTGTCAAAATACAACTAAAACCTAACTTAAATATATCTCACAACTTTAACTATGTTATCTTTTCTAATACAATTTTATTTGTGTACAAGAAATTCTACATGTTTTTGAAAGTTACAAAAATAATAAAATGAAAAGAAATCTTAAATGTTTAATATTATTCTTATAGCTTTTTTTTATTGATTTATCTAAACTATAGTTTCTTTTAATAATATTATTCTAAGAAACATGTATCACTAAACTAATGATATTTCAATATTTTTTAGTTTTATTTATTTATTTCAATTATATATATATATATATATATACATATTATATCATCTTAATTTTATATCTTTTTTAAATTCTTAGAAGTAAAGTTTATTTTAAGGTATGTCTTCCTTTAAAATACCTCTTTTATATACTCTTTTATAAAATTTATTTTAAAATATAATTATTTGTGGTAATTTAATTATTAGTTAAATTACAAATTACAATACTTGAATCACGTCCACATCATTTCCAAATTGTCATTTAACTAAACAATATCGAACACGCAGCATAAACTAAAAATTACTCACGCATGTACAAAAAAATCTGGACAATGGTACTCAACACATTGAAAACAAAAAGACAAAAGTAAACTAATGGCTTTTTAAACAATTCGACGGCGTGATTCCGTTCATAACCCCGTTGGATGTTTTCCCATCGGGACAACGATAATCGTTGATGGCGGCGTCAACCGCATCCATCCGATGGACGAATGAAAGTTCGGCGTAGTGGGCCTGTTCAGTGGGCCGGTGGGGCATGTGACTGTGGGGAAGAGAGCGTAGAAACCGAGGATGATGGGGGCGGTGTCGGAATCACTAACACACTGCTGCCTTGTCTTCTAATCCACCACAATCTCGCGTGGACGCTCAAGGGGATTCATTCTGGTGTGGCTAGATCGCATCGCAGCCATGGATGCTGCGATTGGATGCAACATTACGCGAAAAATATATATTTCCCCATGTGGCGAACTTGGCAGTGGGCATGAATAAGTGTGCGACGCAGGCACTGGGTAGAATCGGGTGCGTTAGGTAGAGTTGGAGGGTCGCAGATGATGATGCAAGGATGCCATCAGGCGTTGCTGCAACTTGGCCACGAGCAATACCGTGCCCTTGATGGTGCTAAGTTTTGTCGCGGTACCCTCCACCTGCAGGTCGCTCCAGTAGTTGCAGATAGAAGCTGCAGGCGGCAGTCACTGGGTACCGTCTCGATCAAAGCACTGGTCATACTAGTTGCCGTCAAGTTCATGCTATTCCTGACTTGTTCTTTTTGGGCATGGAGTTCAGAGCAATGGTTCTGCCGGATCAAATATTCGGCGATGGTTCTGTGGCAGCTCTCTGCGCTTGTTCAGAACCGCTCTCGTCTTACAGCTTCCGATTCAGGCCTTTGAAGGGATCAGCTGTGGCGGCTCGGATTATCCTCGTGACCTTGTTAAATAGCCCCTCGGAATTGCATGAACTTTACGCTTCTGCTTCGAATACTGAACTCTGCCGGTGCATATTTCAGATTGAGGTTTGTCCTAAGTTTTGGCTAACAGTACCCCTTTAAGCCTTGTTACCGTTTCGGGTTTCTGCCAGTGACCTCTGATCGACATTCAACATCAGTCTGGCTCCTCCCCTCTCTAATGATAATTCAAAGTTATTTGAATTGAATTAGAGTGCTTATTGAAGGTGTACACGATTCCAGCTGAGTGTAGGTGCCCTGCCTAGTGCCCACAGCTACTGCGCCACAAAAAGTTATTATTCAAATAACGCCAACTGTACCATTAAAAGCTAAAACCAGCCTTGAAGAAACGACTTCAAACCTGGCCTCCCCTCTTTATCACACAATCTGATTCTCTCATCCTTCCTTACGAACAGCTTTTTCAGTGATCCAGCTAGTTTATATTTCCTATGCCGTTCCCATTAAGAATCTTGATGAAACATATGGTGGACTTCCCTGGTCCTCTGCTCATTTGCATTCGAAAATAGTTGTGATCACACCCCGTTCCCAATTTGGATTAGGAGTTGAAGAGGTGGGTCTACGTCGAAGTGAATCTAGGTTAAGCACAAAAATGGACAGATCATGTCGCATTTTTTTGCACGATTTAGCATATTTTGAATAAGTATGGAAAGGTGTTGTAAAATCTGAACGCCATTCCCTGCAGCACTCTTGTGCCCACTCATCGAGAATCCGACCGCTGGTTTTATAAAAGAATATAATATAAAAAAAACTACTGAATTAGCTCTACGTTCATCTGCTACTCACTCTGGCAATCTTGTATTCATTCCATGTAAGGTAATGAGACTTCCCATAATGTCATAATCGTTCGCATATAATGCAACTGTTTGCAAACTGATGCGTCCTCACCATCTAATTGCAAGTAATTAAAGTATATTTTATACTTCAGAGATATTGACGTTACAACACTGAACATTTAAATATTAATTAAATAATAAGCGTTTTTTGTTTGTTTTTCCTCAAGAGTAACTCCTCCATTGATTTGAGTGGTATGACTGGTATCTGTATACACAAGACAGGGGATAGGGTTTGGAACGCATTGTGCCAAGTGATAGCACTTGCCGAGATCTCTCATGGATACTGTTTATAAGATGTTTTTGTGGCCTTGTGTGATTCTTCTTTCAACAACAAAGGCTTGTTGAAAAAATATATATAAAACTACATGATATTTATACACTAAGAAAGAGAGCATAAATTTTACATTTATGAATAGAAACTCTTTATTTTTGGTCTCAAAAAAATAGTCATTTTTACAATGTAGGTTTTCAGCTTGTAAACATTAAAAATTGATCATTAAAATTTACTCACAGTCCACAAGTTTGTATAGATTTAAGTATTCTAGTCATTTTAAATAAATAAATAAATAAATAAATAATGTTTAATGCATAAAATGAACATGATTTTAGTGTAAATATTTGAATTAAGTAAATTGAACCAAATTAGATAACAAAATCGGCTCTTGAAGTGACATCATAAAATTTTATTCTAAAACTTTTAAAAAAACTATTATAATTGCAATCAAATGTTCATTTTTATCTAAAATATGTATGTTCTGATTTTTTTGTATATTTTCAATTATAATATTTATATTTTCATCTAGATATATTTGTAATAAAATTAAACCAAAACAGTTCAGAAAAGAGCTATTTTTATTGTATTATGCAATATTATTATTTTATTCATATTATCATCTAACATTTCTTTAATGATGAATATTTAATGTTTGATTGTATAAATAAAAACATAAGTATTTATTTTCAAATTTATTATTAAATGATTTTTATTTTTTACCACGTTTCTAAAAATAATTAATATTGATATTAAGAAAATTGTGTATTTTGGTTGGTTAGTTTTGTGAAACAAACTCTATTAAGAGTCTCTCTATTTTAGTCTCTCCATTTTATTTTGTTATCACTAAAATAAATGATTATATTTTTTTAAGGTTTTTGACAAGATAAAATAATATAAGACAAAAAAAAATTGGTTTTTAAAAACTATATAGTCACTTATTTTTTAAGTAAAATTAATGAACATACATTATGTGAAATTGTAAAAAATTATTTAAGATCATTTGTATTTGATAGAAGCATAAATTGTAGTTTGGAATTATATAACTAGTCCATTTAGAACCGAAAAGGACATGTTGAAGAAAGAAAGAAAGAAGAGAAGAAGATTTAATCTAATTACTTATTAATTTAAAGTCTAAATAGAGCTATTATATACTTTTTTTTTAGTGGATTTAAATTCCTTGTTATTGTTAATTTTTTTTTTTATTGTTATTTTTTATTTACATTTTAATTTTATAAATATTTTTTTTAAGATTCTATATTATTTATTATTATTATTTTTTTTTTATCTCTTTTAAGATTTTTAATATTTTGATTTTTTTTTGATATAAAGCTTAGTAGTAGATCACCATATTACTAATTTTGTTAATTGATTCAACTTAATTTTTCAAGATTAATCAAATCAAGAGAAAAATGATCTTGAAAATGTTATTTATTCTTATCCATTTTTTTAAAAAAAGCCAATAATTCCCAAATTAAAACAAAGACAAATATGTCAAGTATATTAGAATTACTTGTGTTTGATTATTAAAATATAAAATAACTAGCATACAAAATATAATACATAAAATGAATAAAAAAATAAAATTATTATTTGTATATGTAAGTCAATTGTATAAAGTTTATTAATTCAAATAAAATTTAAGAAATTTAATGACTAATAATAAATTAGATGTATTATAGAAGCCTAGATTAGTTATGATAAATTAGACA